GAATAAACGAATGCTTTAGTTTATTTGTTCCTTTGAACAACTTTCTTCTTTGAGGTGAAATACCTTTCCCTCATCAAAACTTTTCTTCAGCAAAGTCTGAAAAGTTTACCCAGAGAAAAATCATAGGATAGTGAATTTGTGAAAACAATATTTCTGTTGTATGACTCCTGTAGTATTCTATATTAGCTAAGCATGAATTTCATGCTAGGTTGTATATTACTCTGAGTTTAAAAAGTATGTCTCACAGAAACAGATTATCTTGTGTATTTTAGACAAATGCAATGTTCAATAGAAATTCAGAAGGCCAGGAAGCAGTATCAAGTAGATTTTTCCTGGTTCAAATAGTTTATAAAATGTGAAAAAAGTAATTTTTCTGCAAGGTTAAAACTGCTTCAAGGAGTTTTTTTCTGTACAAAAATCACCTGAACATGTCTACATAAGTGAATTGCAGAGGCAATACAGGTAATGACCAACACTGGTATAGTGGAGTCATGTGTCCTAGGAACTCATGTAATGCATTAATACAACAAACACCCCTCTATGAGATTTTCTTTCAGCTGCTCATGCATATGATACAGTTCTTTTGCCAAGAATGTCTATACATTAACAGAATTGGATCTTTGGTTGAAGGCAGGCAAAAGGAATTTCATCTTTTCTGCCCAGTGAGGATACTTTATTAAATTCATATGATCTTGAAGTTTGATTAATACAAAGAACAAGCACATGAAAAAATTCTGAGATGAAGCAACCTGATTCTGCAGCGCTCTAACAAAGTACGTCTCCACATTTTCTGCCCACATCTCATTTCACTCAGTTTAGTGCTATTCCATCTCTCATCATAAGTGCCCCCAGAGGCAAATGAGCTCCATGTCTTATTAGCAGTTTGTGGAGTAGCTCAGCAGAAGGGCAGGCTTCAGCAGATAAGAGTACTTCTCTAGCAGACTCCATTAGGAATCAGCAGGAAAGACACATTTCTGACATTTGGAAAAGCAGTGCACAACCATCAAATATCAGATACACTAGTCTCTGGAAGATAGCAGTCGTTTTGCCATGGCTCTTCATGTTTCTTATGAGAGCTGAAAGGATGTACAGTAAGAAAAAAAAGTGGCATCATGCCAATTTGGGCAGTGGTAAGCCCTGTAGTGGCTTCACTGATTCCAAGTCACTATGTTGAAACAACAATCTGGCTTTGTATAATTTAGCATGAAAACTTTGATAAATGTAGCTTCTCTAGAGAGGTAAGATGGGGCTTCTAAATTATACAACAGGATGAAGCACAGACTTACAGAAAAGGAGACTGGAAAAGACCTCAAGACCTCATCTTGTGCATTCTGAAGCTCCAAGAGAGAATCAACTGTACCTCGGAAATGGAAAATATATTTCATTATCTTTATCGTTAATAGGATTTTCTTAATATATAACATAAACTTCAGTGTCATAGTTTAAACTCATCACTTCATATCCACTACAGATAAAAAAATGGAATCCCTCCTTACCTCTTTACAGGTAACTTATGTAGATGATAATTTTCATGTGTTCAGTTGGCCTTCTCTTCTTTAGACTGAGCAACCCAAATTCTTTCAATCTTTCTTGTTTTTATCTCAAACAACTGACCATTTTCTCTGCTCTTCTCTGGACTCTCTCCAGTTGGTCTACCTTCTGTCTGAACAGTTTTGCTTGAACAGGAGACAGTGCCACTGGTTGCTGTGCTAGCCAGAAATATAATAGGAGGTATTCCTTAATATATCGTGTAAGCAAAACAGTTTATCTTCTTAATACGCAGTTTGCATTCTTGTACACATATGGTGTAACACTACTTGTTCATGTATAGCTTGTGATTGACTGCTACCCCTCATCGCTTTTTGGCAGAATGGCTGCCTAATTGGTCATTGCCAATCCTACATCTTTACAAACTATTATTACCCCTTGGAACCTCACACTTGTAAACACAAGTGCATTGCAATGTGTTTTCTCCTACAGATAATTTCTCTTATTTGTCAAGAGCATTCTGAATTTAATGTATCATGCAATGTGCTTGCTGTTCATCTGGGCTTATTGTTATCTACAAGGGTGAAGGATTGTTCCTTTATCCAAGTCATTACTGACTTGGGCCATTACCTGGCCCAGAACAGACCCAGCTAGAGTCTCACTGATTATATTTTTTGAGTTTGATAATGAATGATTAAAAACTAATCGTAAAGTCTGTGGGTTCCCCCCCCAGGTAGTTTTGCACTCTCCCTGAAGTAGTTTCACTTTAATTTACTTTTGAAAATGTTATGAGTTAATCTCAATAACATTATTAAAATTAAAATGTGTTACGTGAGCTGCTGCTTCTCTATTTGAGACTTGTTGCCCTGTTACAGAAAATACATTGCTTTATATTTTTGGCATGTTAGCTATTAGCTTTTTTAACTATCTCTAATCTTTTATGAATAAATTATTTTTTCATTTATTCTAGTATTTTTCCAGAATTGGTCTTTTCCTCATTTCTTGGCTTTTTAAAGATGAGCACTGTGTTCACCTCTTCACACAACTTCTGAGAGCTTTCAGAGGAAGCTAACAGCCCTGAGCTTGCTTCACTCTGTTCTCAGGGTATCTTCATGTCCACTTACTCAGGCCCAGATGTCACTGTGGATAGGACTCATTTCACATAACTTTAGCTGCCTATAAAATAGCCATCTATATCTGTGCAGGGGTGTAGGTTCCTATCACAGTCGAGGGAGACTTAGTACAGTCAACAGCCAATAGAGAGCTCTTCTGGAGACACGCTGTAGAGGCATACTTGAGGATGAGATGAACTGCAGTATTTCCAAATTATTCTCAGACCTGTTCTTTTCCTACTTTAGATGGATTCTTTCTTACTGAGTTAGTTATTAGTCATGTAATTACAGATCACCCTTTTATGAAGAGTGATGGAAAATGTACTTCAGCCTTCTGCAAGTGAGCTATCACTAGGTTTTTCTTTTCCTTACATATTTGTTTTCTTGCTATCCCTTATGTCCATTGCTTTTTGCAGTTAAATTTGTGCTTTATCCTTTCTGACTTTGTTTCAGCATCTTGTGCTATTCTTTCATAATTGTCCTTAGGAGTTTGACCTGGTTTCCACTTTCTGTACACTTCCTTCTTGTGTTTCAGGTCATTGAAGACCGTGTTGCTTAGCCAAGTTGATCTCTGACCGTACTTCCTATCCTCCTACTGTGTGGGATTGTTTGTGCTTGTACCCTAAACATCATTTCTTTAAGGAACTGCCAAGTCTACTGAATTCCTTCTGCTTTAGCCATGTTTCCCATGAGAACTTACCTTCCAGTTCCAAGGGTTTATTGGAGTCTTCTTGTATGGAGTCCATTGGGTTTGAATTGCTCTTTCCTCTTGTTCCTCATCTAAAAATAATATACATGATCACATCACAGTTGCTCTCAACCAAATCACCTTTACCCTCATATTCCCAGCCATCCTCCTTCTTGGTTGCTTAGCAGGCAGCCTCTTGGCAGGCTGCTGTTGAAGCACTTGGCAGGCTTCGACAGCTGTTGTAGACCATACGCAGGGAGTGGTTAAATGCTGCTCATTATACCCAGAGACAGACACAGCACATATTGCTTTGTAATGTGCAACTGGAGATGCTCACCTAAACATTCACAGGGAAACACTGGCATCTTTTAGCTGGGCATTTAATCAAAACAAAGACAAATACTACATATACAGAGTGTTTCAGATGCTCTCCTGTGAAAGCATCTGTGTGGATGCAGAAACACTGCCCAGCCTTGAAGTCCAGGGAAAAAGAAGACAAAAACCTCTCCCCTGTTTCCTTTGCAGACCTAGGCATAAATTTAAAATAATGTGTCTTTTTGGACTGATCTTTCTTTGTCTGAATCTTTATTTTCTGTTTACCATCACTCAGAGGAATGGGAAATCTCCACTGAGGTTGTCTGGTGAGTAAAATTGGATTGTTAATAGCTTTTCACATTACCATGATTTTCACAGTGTAGTCAAATCTCTCCACAAAGGGAGATTTCTTTGCCACAGAGTTGCTGGGGGTTTTTGTTCATTTATATATTTAGAAATTGCTATCGAACCTCTCAAGAAATAAACTAAGACATTATTTACCTTTTGAAATCACACCGTGATGAAGTGAATCTACAAAGGATTTTTTTGGGAGTCTATTTTTCATTGCTATAGCTCTCCTCAGTTAAGAACAGGGGAGTTTAACATACGGCTAAAAGTTGATGCTACAAGTATTCTGGTGCCTGAAATGAAGAGACAGAGGCTTTCATTCACTTTATGGCTTTGCTAAGGGTAATACACATCTTGACTCTTCTATTTCAATACAGTTTGCATAGGATTTTATCAAATTTCAAGTGTTTAAGCAGAAATTTTCCATGCTAGATATCTGCGTCAGGATAATTTTTAAAAGCCTTTGAGGAAAAATAGTTTATAGCTTTTTATACAGGGTGTTTTGGAAACTGTGCTCTTTACTTTCATGTTAAATAGTTCTGGTGACCTTTCCCCTAAGAAGTTCAGGTACTTTGTAGGCTTTGGAAAAAGCATTTGAAAAATGAGGCTAAGGGGATTCCTTTTGTATATTCTCAGTGAAACCTCTGCTGGACTGAGGTGGTGCAGGGGAGTAAACCACCCGTTTTAAATAACAAAGCAAGCATGACCAAGATTTTTTTGGGGAAAGTGTTGAGGATCACTGGCAAAATAGATTCAAAGAATGAAATCAGCAGGAAGAAACTGTGCCTTGATAAGTAGTGTGAAAATTGATGTGGGAGGGAAAGGAAAGGAAAATGTGTCAGTATAGTTTGGGACATACTAAAATAGCTAGAGGAGCTGAAGTGCGGAGCCTGTGACTAGCTGAGTACAGAGCTGAGAGCGAGAAGCAGTGGGGCTGCGTGGGAGGCTTGGAAGAAGAAGGAGAGACAGATCTGATGAGCTGAGCTCGGAAGTGTGGTTGGTGTGGGGGGCTGTGAGGCTGACTGAGGAGACAAAGGGAGGAGTCTGGCAGTGGGAGCCAGCAAAGAGCTGGCTCGTGCATGGGGAAGACTGAACAGCAGGATTGGGGTGAGATCTGATGGGCATTTGGGAAGCTGGAAAGCAGGATTTGCTGGGCAAGCTGACTGAAAATGATACAAGGATGGCTTTTGGAGGTGAGGTGAGGATTTGCTGGAGACTGGGTTAAAATTTTGCCTGAGGAGTGGAAGCAGGGACTGGGGAAGAAGGGGTCACACCTGGGGCGGGGGCCAAGGGAAAAGCACTGGTGCCCATGCAAATATATGCTCAGCAGGAGGAGAGCTCAGTGTTGGAGAGCTGCTGGCGAGTGGGGTGCAAGGAAGTGGAATTGCGGGTAGCAGGAGTGGAAGACTCTGGGCAGGCTGTGCTGATGGTGGGAGCAGGGGAAGCAGGGACAAGTTGTGCTAGGGACCATTCTCCTCCAGTGCCAGGAATGGCATCCCACATGTCTGAGTCTCACCATTTTGTTGCTGTCAGCAGGTAAGCCTGACAAACTTGGGTCTTGTCATTGTTGATGCTGGGTTTGTTCAGAAGATAACAACCTGCTGCCACTATCGGTTATTCCGTTAGTGTGAGTATCGTAAGATCAGTCAAGGGAGCTAAATGATTCACCACTGACAATGATTTTTGTGCATGTTGTTATGATGCCACATGAATACATTTTTCAGTAGTTTTTCAACACTTGGTTTTTAAGGAAACAAGATATTCAACAGAACTTGACACAGTTCACAGGATGGACATGCTCTTGAGATGCTCTAGGGCTGTGCAGTAGGATCCCCACTATCTACAGCAGATGAGGGAAGGTGTGCAGTGAATCAGGCAAGAGGTTTTAGGATGAGAGTTTGGGTTCTTTGCCAAAATATTCCCACATGGTGTGGGGCGCCTACCTTTTCAGAGACTCTCATTGACTGTCCATTCTCCATTTTCTGGGTACTGAGCAGGCTCTGGAAACCAGATTTGCAGATCTTTTGAGTATTCATATCTGTAACTGAATCAGAAAGACTATTTTTGAACTTAGAGTGTACTGTAACATTAAATATTCTGAAATGTCAGCTCTTTAGTTTCAAGACTGTGCTGCCAAAAGCCATCTTCATCTTACACTCTCTATGATTTAGCTCATGCACCACTTTAATCCTACTATTTCATAATTTCTTAATATTTGATACTGCATGTGCCATAGTATGATATAAATACATGTTTCATAAAAACAGACTTTGAACATAATATTCCTACTGAACAGCTTGCCCTGCAATACAGAGGAGACCAGAAAGGAAAGGAAAAATAGGCCTGGATTCATGTAGGAAGAGAGAAGAATGCATACACACAGTTTGTCAGTAGGTGTCAGGGTGTTTCAGGTGAAGAAGTTATTTCTGTAAAAAAGCAGGCACCAAAACACCCCTGTAAAGACTTGTACGTGATTCCTGTACAGGAGTCTTTGGAGGAGTATAAAAAAGAAAGAGTTGGGGGGAATGAGGGTAGCGGTATGGTTTTGGACAAAACTGTTGGATCCTGAAAATGAGGGTCAAAAGCTGGACTAGAATGATAGAAGAAGCTGGAGGAGATGGGAGCAAAAAGGGAAATAATTTAAGCAGAGACATTTTGTATGCACTGGAGCGTAAAAAGAGAGAGAGAGATCATGGCTGTCATCAGTTATGGCAGACGGGTACTAGTGGAGGGAATACAAGAAGGATATAATGAGGTGAACAGCAGCAAGGAGGTTGTCTGGGGGCTGTGTGCTAAGCAACCAGGAGTTTTGCAGGCAGTTCTGGCTATGCTGTTTGGTGTGCAATGACAGAAGTGAATGAATCACGTTTACACAGCGAGGTGAAAAGCAGGAAGGGACAGAGGGTATGTAGGGTTGAGACAAGGTGGGTAGACTTGAATGGCAAGGACAACGTTGCTATTACTGACAGTAACTGAGAAGAGAAATATGGGAGGGAACTGTAAGACACATGAAAAGCCAGAGACCTAGTTATCAATATAATGAGAAAAGCAGAGGGATTTTGTGAGGCCCCATCTCCCATGAAACAAGCCTGGGAGGAGGTCATTCATTGCCACCGTGGTAGGTGTGTGTCACGTTCTAAGTTTTTCTTCCATACTCCCTTTTTCTTCCTCCTTTCCAAGTTTCTTAGGTTCATCTAGATTCCCTAAAAGAAAGTGGTGAAGGTTGCTCTCCCATGATTGGTTTTGCAGTGGTTTAAATGGCAGTTGATACGCACGTGGGATTTTGAATTAAGCATTTAGATAAGAAGGCCCCACAGCCCATTACCATGTAACCAAGCAGAGGGGGTGGACTTTGTTCTCATATTATCTGTCAGGCCCCAAGAGCACTAACAGGGCCCCGACTGTCCCTGCCCAGCCCCTTGGGGCTTCCCCCACCCTGCCCATGGCACAGGACCCCATGCCAGCCCCTCGGGGCCATCAGTCGATGCTGCAGCAGGGCTGGTCTCCAGCTCCCCACAGCCCAGCTGAGCTGGGCCCACCCACAAGCCGATGTCACCGTGGTTCTACCTGATGATCTGGTGTCTTGGCTGAACTGGCCACCATCTCCAGGTCTTCACCCTTCGGGGGTGGTGATGGATCCAGGCTGGTGAGGCCCCTGCCACACTGTCCATGTGGTTATTGCACTTGGCTCCCAGCTCCCCATCCCAAGGGGAAGAGCTGTCCCTCACTGCTCCCTGACAATATGGATGGGAAGTGGAGATACTTACAAAATCAAAAGCCCATGGCCTTTCTGGCTATAGCTACAGGAAGGAAAACAGAGACAAGTTTGATCACGTAGTGAGGGTTGGGTTCCAGTGCGTGAGTGACTCCAGTGCATTTAATTTCATTCCTCTTTAACTGCCTGTGGTAATTTATTGGATAGTTTTGCATATTCCTTTCTATACTCATTTCCTTGAATTTGTTCTTCTCCTTCTTTACTTCACTGAATTATACTTTGTGTCTTTTCCACTCCCATTCTCAACCTCCCTTTTCCACGGCATTGTTTGAGCAGGCTACACAGCCTTTCTATTATTTCCCATGGCCCTGGCTCCGCCACTTTTCCTCAGGTTGACGCTCCCTGCCTCGCTGGGAGTTTTTCTGTCAGACTCTGTGCTGCTTTTTCCCATGGACTCTTTTTCCTCCTCACTTTGGTTCTTTTCATCCCCAAATTGGCTCTTCCTTTCGCTTGCTCTTTTGTGGGCTGGGTGGTAAGAGTTTTAGAACTCTGGCAGCCTAACTGGTGTTGGCATCCCTGAAAAGGAGGATTTTAAGGAGTGATTTTGGGTGAAAAATGCAATAGCTCTGTAGGTGCTTCAGAAACTTCTTCCAAAAAGGGGGGTAGCAGAGGAGAAAGCTGAAGCTATTTGTTTGGTAGCAGGGGCTAATGGTAGCAGGGGCTAGCAATATGACTGATCAGAAAGTAAAGTTGAGCTTTTAATACTGCATGAGAAATGACAGGTAAAGAAAAACCTTGGAAGGCAAGACAGGGAGATGACATGGGGTGAAATAGAGAAGGAGAAGCTAAAAGGCAGGCATAAGAAGGTGGTGTAATGAGAATAACAAGCAGTTTAATGATGGCAATGAGGAAGGTAGCACTGCAGTTGCTTAGAACAGAAAGAAATCTGATGCAGTAATAGAGGGCTGAGATGACCACTGCAGGGAACAAGAGTTTTAGCTTGTGCCTGTGTTGGAAATTGTGACTTTGTACCTGCCTCGCTGCTGTGAACTGTGCTGTTCTGTAGGACACCCCTGTCAGCGTCTTCCTCAGTAGCCCCCCATCTAGCTCATATGTTGTCTTCCTACTGAGCTTGTACTCGTTCTCGCATAACACCTTTCAGCCCTTGCTGCTGCAAGGGAGGTGATGTCAGACCCTGGCTCTTGTTGGCAAAATGACCCAGATCAGACTGTTCTTCTAGCCCTTGGCTGTCTGCAGCCTGCTGGAGGTTCCTAATTCACTAACGATTTTCCACTTAATGGAGCAGGCCAGCCTGCCTGCTGAGACTCCAGTTTCTGGGGTCTCCCTCTCTCCTGTCCATCCATAGCGAGTTGTACAGGAACAAGGAGGCTGCAGATTTGGGTGAGCAAGGGTCTTGCTTCTAAAGGCGCAATTCACCCTGTTAGAACAGCACACTCAGAACTGCGTCCAGCAAAGCTTGTTTTTCCTGTTTGTTTTTTATTCTGGCTGCTCCTGGGGGGTTTCTACACGTCATCCCCTCCTCACCTTCTATGTAGCCATGTAGATATCAGTATGTATGTATTTGCAGTTGTCTTTTTGAAGGGATTAACAAAGCTTAAGTACAGAATGGGGCTCAGCCACTGAGAATGTTATCTGCTTCCAGAGATTTTCCCTACCTTTCCCTACTGAGCTGCCCTACTGGTACCTTTTTTTACTTCCTGCTTCAAATGTATCAGGAACACAAATAGGTATTGTAATTTCATTCTTTTAATCTGGAAAGATCCACTTATCGTCAAGTAGGGTTCAGGGGATCACCCCATATGCCCAGCTGTGACCAAGGTCTGTCTTTGCAAAAAATTAGTTTGAGACACACCTTTGTAAGTTTATCACCAGGAGACTTTAAATCCTTATCAACCTAGTTAGTTAGTTTACCTGGAGCAAATAATATGTCAGTGTAACTGATATTAATGTGTTTCTGAACTACACATATGTGTGTATATATATGTACACATGCATATAGTTCAGAAATATATATATACACACACACACATGGGTGTGTGTACATGTATTTCTGTACTTGGGTAATGGGTGCCATACATAAAGACTTACTATTATTCAACATTTCCAGTTATAGGACTTCTAATTGTTTATAAAAGTATCAAAATACTGTTTTTTCAGACTGATTTTTTAATACTTATTTAAAAATTGCAGATTTTTCAATTGCAATAGTTCAGCAGTTCCAAGAGAAGGATTAGGGAATGCTGTATTATGAATCATTGTTTTAGCAGTTCAAGGACAGAACGATGTACCAGTGATACCTGTTAAAGGCAACGCAATCTACTCTGGTGTCTGCGCTAGGAATAAACCTGCATGGCAGGAGGGAGAACTTCAATCTGAGTGTGATGTGCTAGGTCATGTATTCACATGAGTTTATCATTAAAACATCTTTGGACTGTCTAAATATTTCCTAATTGAAAGAGTACTAGAGATTCTATATTAGACCTTGTTTTGGTCAGGGGAAAAGGAACTCATTACAAAACCAAAGTTGGTGGTTGGATAAGTGTGAGTGGTTGTGGTGTAGCTACATATGGTATGAACAGTTAAAGTCCAGACCGCTAACAGACATATGGGATGGTTGCAGAAGGTCTAGTATCTGAAAATGGAAAGCAAGTATGAGACAAAAGAACCAAGAGAAACCAATTTAACAGAAAAAATTATCCGATAACTCAGACGTATGACAATTCTGTGAGTGCCCTGGAAAAGTACAATCTCATCATTGAGATAGAGAGCTCTACTGGGTCAAATGATCTAGCCTGACATACAGGAGATGTGCAAGTAGGTTGCCAGCCACTCCTCCATACTCAGTATAGCATATAGAAAAGGGGGAGGTTGAAAATAATTAAAAGCAGAAAATTGTCATAAATTTCTTGAAGGAAACAGAAGGGTGGAAAGAACATTTTATGGTCAGCAAACTTGAGAACAAAGATATGAACAACGTGATACAACTTTTTTTGGTTTTGTTATGAGGAGTCTGTATATTGGGAAGAAAAGAATCTTAACAATGGATTAGCAGAGGTAGAATTATCAGTAATGCACAGAAGGTTGGAATTCAATAAATATTTCTCATTTTATGAGGACTTCAGACCTTTTTCCCATCTCACATGCACGAGATGATTGGCATTGCTTTCTCCAATAATCTGTTCCCCATTTGCTACCACTCTTGGCTTGAGCAATTGCTCTGGTTGCTCTCTCATAGAAACGTATTATGTTATAGGAAATTAATCTCACCAAACTGACTTACTATTTTTGTTTGGGTTTAGTTGATTAAGGTAATAACATTGATATAGTGGATTTAGAATTGTATCAAGCATTCGACTCGATACTGCAGCATGTTTTGCCTAAGAAGCTAGAAAGCCATCAAATCAGCTGGACACTCATTGAAGGAATTAAACCGTAGTTAACTGACAGGCTTCAAAAAATCTCATCACCTGATAGAAATGCTTCTGAAAGGGTTCTGCAAGAAAGGGTTCTATGAGGATCATTCCTCTTACTGCCCGGTTTACTGTTTACTAGTGTCCAAGAAAAAGTCATAAAATTATTTCTGATGAGATCTGCAGAATCCAGTAGGACATGCAGAGTTGAAAATATTAAGCCATAGCTACGTATGGTTGATCTGTAATGGTGTGATCTGAAGAACAAGCAAAAGCCAACAGTGCAGTGTAAGGCTGTTATCTAGAAGATTTTATGCTTCATTAAAAATAAAAAAAAACCCAAAAAATCCACAAAACCCCCACAACTATGTGTAAAAAGAACAAAGCAGATTAATGCCTTATATTTGGTTTTTAGTATTTTCTCCTCGCTTTGGGGATATGTTAGTTCCAGAGAGACATTTAGATCTCTGACTCCTTGCTGTGTTACTTTTCATTAGAAGACATTTCTGCCTGTTTTTTGAGTCCTATGGTACTGTCTTTCCACCTTGCCTGTGGGAGCCCATTCTGCTGCCCTTTGGTTACAGCAGAACTAGACTATTTATTATGAAGTTGTTGTGTTAATAGACTCACCACACCTTGACTGAGGAATGCCTTGTAGTTATCCAGTCACCTTAAATCACACTTAATTCAAGGTAGGATGAGGTAAAATGCAAATAGAAGTATTAATTCATTACGTCTAAAATAGACAACACAATTACAAGTGTCTGGAAAAGACATAAGTGAAGAAATAGAAGAAAAAGTTCATCTGATCTACTGACACAGAATGTATCACAAAGGTGTTTTTTGTTTTGGATTTTTTTTCCCCCCTTTTTCATTTCCAGGTGACTTGTCCCTCTTCTGGCAAAATGGCTCTCAGAATTTTCTTTCCTCCTATTCCTCAGATTGCTCTTAGGTGATTTTCATCGTTGGAGACCTTGCATTACACAGAACTCTGTATTGGGGTCTCCCATCTGAAAACGTCTTCAGAAGAAGCCTTTGGACTTCACCTTCAGGTACTTCTCCCAGTTGTCACGTTGACCTCACTTGTTGATGGATGGTTTTAGCTCTTACAGCCAGTCTGCACTTCAAAGTTTTCTAAGGGGTCCAAACAGGTTTCATCTGTCACCTTGGAGCTCATTCTATCCCTCCTTATGGTCTGAACGTTCTCCGGAATTAAAATAAGGATTCTTTTGCTTCCACAAATATGCAAATATCTTGGAAGAGGAGTTGTCTCCTGTATTTACCTAGCTCATAAATATCTTCTTTCCCTCAAGGAGGCAAGTCTCTTCCATTTCCCTCTCGTGACTCATTGACATGTTTCAACATGAAATGTGTCTTATGGCAGACCTTATACTCTGTACTAGTAATTTAATTAACAAATACATATGATACAAGTATCTAAATAGGGTACATTAATCTAGTTCATTTTCTGATTCCTGAGGCAGGTATGATAACAATGACTACTCTGAGGTGACAGCATTTAAGGTAAATGAAGCCCAACCTCTTTCTCCTAAGCATACTCTAACAAGGAGTCCCTGTACAGAATTATTTAGTGTCATATTTATTTTAATTTCTACACAGTGAGAAATTGTGTCTTCAAACCACTTCTGAAAAAGAATAAAAAGAGATCACTCAATCTTAGACCTCATGAGATCTATGAACAATCTGACTGACTTCAGCTGGCCTTGAAAACAGCCTTTGATGCATTAGAAGTCAATAGATCGCACAGTGAAGGGAGAATTGACATGCAGTGAAGAAAAGGTTAAAGGCCAAAGATCAACCCATATTTTTTCTTGTAGCCTTTATAGTGGTCTTATGCAGCCAAGAAAAATGCAAAAATATTGGCTAAATGCCAATCTGTGTAAAAATACTGCATTCACTTGAATGAGTATTGTAACAATTTAATGTAAACACAAGTAAATTGTTAATATATGTGACTGCAGAGAGTGAACAGTCATCTCCGTTTCTCAGGTCATGCCTACACTAAAAGAGATTTAATAATTAGTAATGCTGTTAACTGTATGAGTTTGAAGATATTCTGGTAAAGGTGTGTGATATAATAATCACCCATCAGCCCCGAAAGGAAGAAGCCTTGTGTGCAAGTACATTTTCAGCAATTTAACTAGTGCTGCCTCTACTGCTGTCTCAGAACACACAGGAAAACGGTTTCCATTATGGCAGCTGGGGTTTATGTACATCCACACTGGGGGCAGGTGGGGGGCACCACAAATAACTTCCAGAGTGGTCCTGTTGTATCTTTGTAAAAACAAAACAAAAAAAGTTGAAGTTGCATCCTCAGGAAATCCAGGCAAGGATGTCTTTATTGCCAGCAGGTTCAGGGTGAAAAATCGAAAAACAGAAAAGGAAGACAGAGTTGCTTGACTTTTTTGGTGGTGCAGACTTTATGGGACAGAAATAGAATGTCAGGTTTGTGAGTAGTTATGGTTTTGCACTTAATTTTGCTACTTCAAATAAAAAGTGATGAAAAGCATGCTGATGAAGAGCTTTCTAATGGGGGCAACACAGTAAGATTGCACAGAGGACTTGGAGAGCTCTCTCTCCAGGAAGTGCAAAGGGACAGAACGAGGGAGCACAGGAGAGGGAATACGTTGATTGTTGGACTGCATTGGCCTTCTCTCCTTTTATCTGTGAACATGGAACATCTCCCTTTCTGTTGTTTCCTCTGCTGCTTCTATATGCTTCCTGCCATAGTGAACCATTTTGGGGCTCTTATGCTGCAAGCAGCAACGGCAGCAAACATATATACACTGGAGTGTCTTTGGGAGAGAGAGAATGGGAGAACTAATCTATTATTAGTAGTTAGGATTCTCTGCTGGAATGTGGAAGAGTTTCTCCTGCACTAAATAATGATTTATTTGTACAAAGTGGAAAGCTTCAGGGCAAGAGATGGGAAGAATCTCATCCTGAGTGCATCATAGGCTTGCGGATAGGCCTGTTGCAGGTTACAGAAAACTTAGTACTCCCAGACTCCAACAAGTAAGGTTATTTAAAAAAAAATACATCTCTGTAATCCTAAATGAGATTATTGTTACACAACGTGAAGGGATAGATGAGTTTGCTTGGCAGGAAAACCAGCTTTAAATGAGGAGAAGGGAGGAGTATTTGCTCATACACAGCTCATTGTTCTGAGAAAGGGGGGAATTTTGTAATACTTTGAAATGGTCATATTATTTGTCTGTTTGGTTTAACAGCATAATTGTGGTGAGTCTTTTCATAGGAGAATTTTTACTTCTTAGCAAAGCCTGTTTTTACAGGGCTTAAGGGTCTTTCTGCTATCGTAAATTCTGTAAGAGTTATCTTTGTTATATCAGTCATACAACATCTATCTTGTATTATCTTTCCTTGTTGACAGAAAGGCAGATTTCCACTTCAGAGATCACGTCATCGTCCTTCCTGTGAAAATAATATGAACCAAAAGGTGTTAGTTTTCCTTCTCCCAAACTTTATTTTTGGGATATTTCTTTTTGGGTTTTTCTGTAAGAGACAAAAAAACCTAACAGGTGAGTAAAGAATTTACCAACAGGAAGACTTAATGTTTTCTAGAACCAGGGACACCTTTCCCAAATGTGTTAGAAAGTAACTATGGAGCCTAAGTGATAAACAATACTATGAAAATATCCAAGGCCCCATCACTGTGATAGCTATCTATCTTAGCAATGTATGAGAGGAAGAGCACTACAAAAACCAGTTGACATTAGAAGTGTTAGAACATCCATCTTGCTTAGAGTAATACTGCTAACATGTTGAAAGTTTTCGTTTTAACAAACTTTTCACTAAGCAGGATAGTTTATTGCATGCTTGCCATAGTGGAGTCCAGCGACAGTAAATAAAAAATTCATTTTAGCATCTTCATTAGTTTTTGTATGCAGGGAGATAGATTGAGTGCTATGGTTGTCACAAAGAAAGAGACTTTTATATAAGTCTATTTCACACTAATAGTTTAAATTTCTTCCTCGGTTGCAGGTGCTTTTCCTGATCCCACTGAAGATTGGCTGGCAATTCAAAATGATCGCAAAAGCACACTGGCTTCTCTCTGCCTGAAGAACAACCTTCTTAAATTAAGAAACAAATTGGATTCTCGTGTTGCAAACCAGCTCTTTGTGGAGCACAAACACAAATTTATCTACTGTGAGGTGCCCAAGGTAGGCTGCTCCAATTGGAAGAGAACTATTTTTCTTCTCCAAGCAGACTTGAATGCGGAAGCTTCTGAAATTGAGCATGACCACATCCACCAAACCTCGCTGATCAAAAAGCTGGTGACTTACCCTCCTGACGTACGAAAGGAATTTCTGAACAATTATACCAAAGTGATGTTCACCAGACATCCCTTGGAACGGCTGGTTTCAGCTTACAGAGACAAACTTCTGCACTCTGAGCCATTCTACAGCATCACTGTTGCTAATGAGATTAGGGCAATGTTCAGGAAAAACAAAAATTCTTCAGAAAAAGTGAGTTTCCAGGAGTTTGTCAACTTCATTATAGCAAAACCACCAAATACTCTTGACATTCACTGGAAACCAATGTTTCTGCTCTGTGATCCTTGCAACATTCACTATGATATTCTCGGTAAGTATGAAACTCTTGGGTTAGATTCTGAGCATGTTCTGAAGGTCATTGGAGCACCAGAGAGCCTGCACTACCCCAGCTTGAAGAGGTATGGATCAGAGAAACGAACTAATGGTGATATCACCTTGGAGTATCTCAGACAACTGAACTCAGAACAAGTTGAGAAGATCAAAAAATTGTATCAAATGGATTTTTTCTTGTTCAATTACACTATGAAATATGAGGATTATTTTTCCCTGAATGACTAATGTAGGATAAACAAAGCACAGTTTCCTTTGTACAAAATGGGCTGAACTTGTCCTCACAGGTGCTTGATAGGTGGCTTGGTGACTGCTGCTGAGATTTTACTGGTGTTTGGAGACATGGTTTATCATCCTAAGCACTCTTATAACAAATCCCTGCCATGATCTGTTGTACTGTACAGTACTTTACCTATATGAAATTATTGTCTTCCTGTTGATCATTAATGGCATATGTTTGTTTCACGAAGACTGTTTATAAATGATAGATTTTGGTCTGTCGATAAGAGGTAGGGGAAGGATGAAGAATGTTGTTTTTCACCATGAATATTGTTAGAACACCTTTTTTTTATATACAAGATTTTAATTTTTTATTAGAAAAAGACATACAAAGCAATAAATAATCTGCTTTAGAGTCCTACTACTCTCTGTCTGCAAAAGCCTCAATCATGAATCCTGTAGGAAAGGAGCAAATAACTTCAGATGCTTGAAGCTGAACTTAACGTCTGATTATAGTCCCCTCTGGCAGTGCTCTTGCCACAGCCCACCAGCCTCATCCCTCAAGCAGTACAGTTGACAGCTATCCAGCCAGGGTTTCCCTCATATCTCTTCAGAATCTTCTGATGACCAGGTCTGGTGTTCATGGCGACTTTGCACAATCTTTTCACCACCTTTGTGAGCATTATGGTCTGATTTAAGAGGGAAGGTCTGAAAAATATATCTTTTTTAGAGAATTAGTTAGAGGTACCTTCTAAACTGTACAACTGGGGTGGTGCAGGATCTAAAATCTCAGTGGAAAGGTGACTCTTATCTGTTCTCCAAGAGCACTACCCAGTCAACTGACTGGCCAGTCAGCAGAGGGGGGACAATGTTTGGGCTTTCCCCATTTGTGCCTGCTGGAGCCCATGAGCCCTTGGGACTTACCTGAGCACAGCACTTAGGTGGAGCTGGGTAACCTCAGATAATACATCTGTTCTACCTGTTGCTTTCTCACCTCACAGGGGATTGAGCGAAAATAAATTGTAGAATTATGGTGAGGGGAGCAATGAAGCATGTGGGAGAAGCAACTCAAACCATTATCCACTTCTTATATTCCTAGGTGGCTTTGGTTTTAGATCACTGAGGGGTCTATAACTGCCACTATATTAAGTACGAGACTTGCCTCATTTTTTTGAAAATCTATTGCCTAGTCACATTGAAAATTAATTTGTGACCATATTAATTGTAGCAAGTTTTAGAAACTAATCATGAGTATTAGCACCACCTTTAGGGGATGTCAGTCTTTCAGGAGCTAACTTGAAAATTTCTCAAATGCACTTAGTTCCTATAAGTTCTATCTGCAAATGTACAAAGGCTGGCAGGCTAGTCTTGGATCCAAAGTTGGCTCACAGCTTCTCATTACATAGAAAAGAACAGGGACAAAATAACTTAATCACACTGCAGCCACCAATCTGTATAGCCATTGCTGCCAGCAGCATGGCCAAGGGAGAGGGAAAAGGGGACTGGGAAAAATGGATGCAATGGGATTTGAGTCACGAGGGTTGTGAAGAGAGCTCCCAGTGCAGGGAGTGGGATGTAGGGGTGGTCTACCGCAGAGGGAAGATGCAGTGATATATTGGACATCAGCTGGAGGCACTGGTGAGACCATGGTGACAGGAGGAGGCAGAGGATGAGAGGAAATGGCCTCAAGTTGCACCAGGGGAGGTTTAGATTGGATACGAGGGAAAATTTCTTTACTGAAAGAGTGGTTAAACATTGGAACAGGCTGCCCAGGGAAGTGGTTGAGTCACCCTCCCTGGAAGTATTTAAAAGATGCGTAGATGAGGCACTTAGGGACATGGTTTAGTGGGCTGTTGGGTTGACGGTTGGACTCGATGATCTCAGAGGTCTTTTCCAACCTCCAACCTTCTATGATTCTATGATTCTAAGAAGCTCTCTGCATCCCTCCTTGACGGCAGATGGTACAGAAAGCCAGGACTACCGTTCAGTACATCTGGCAGCTCTTGCATGGCTGACTATTCCATAAATGGGGCAGCTTTGGCACAGGGAGAGATCCAAAGTGAGAAGACCAAGCAAGAACAGCAAAATATTTTTTTTTAAAAATAGCTTGTGATTTTATGTGGAGTGATTCATGGTTCTGGATCTTACCCTCACCACTACCATATTTGATGTCCCCACAGTCCTACTATCCCCCGACACTGGATTGCTCATGCCACCCTGGCAACCCTGTAGTTCATGTGGATTTTCTTTTACTTTTTAATTGTGCTGAGGCAGAGGAAGCTGGAAATGACTCCCATCAAAGTTAAGGCTACGCAGAGGGATGCAGTTTCTCTCTCCCTCTCTTTCCTGAATCAGAGCCATCTCCAGCTACATGCTTCTCCTACTTTCTTTGCCGGACCATGCAGAGGAAGAAGGGAATAAGATTTGCTTGCTTCTACATGACAGATCCCTCCAGAGCTATAAGATTCAGCAAAGATACTTTAATTTTCTGGCACCATCAGCCAGCCTAGGAAAACTCTGAAGAAATTATACTGGCAGAGTTTGATAGGTGTCTTTGCTATCAGCACTCTCGTGTTAACACTCCCCTCCAGTTTCTTGCTGTTAGATATGAGTGGCTTTCTATTCTTATTTCCTCTTTCACACAGGATTACATATTCTTCCTACAATGGTGACAGAAAATGGATGGCTAATTCATTCATCACAAGCACTAGTCAGTAACAGGAGGCTATCTGTTGATGCAGAAAAATCTCTGTAACTATTCATAATGGACTTTCAGATTTGACATTTGCCTATAGGAAACTGTAAGTAGCACATTGCCTGGAACCACTGGCTGCTGTAATGCTGTTTAGCTGGTGTGGGTCTCAATGCAAAAAACTGCAGAGGATGTGTGTGTTCATGTGTGCACATATAACAATAGTTTTGGGAAGCAGTGTCATACAAGAATGGTATAAGTTGTGCATTACCAATGCTAACAAAATGAGAATAATGGGTTGATATCTGCTGGAAAATCGAAAAAACTGACATTACCTTATAAAGGATCTTGTAACATTCCCCTGCAGGCATCTTTTAATGGTCAACCCAATTTACTGCATTTCCATTTCTGTGAGCTTGAGAATACTCCCTAACACTGCCCCCCCCCCCCCCCCCCTCCACCCGCCCT